AAGGGTGCCGAAAAAGTGGTTTGTGTAGGCTTTTGGTCCGACAAGATAAGTGTCAATGGAAGTGTCCATAAATGTGTCCCAGTCCTTACCGTACAGTAACACATACATGAATAGATACATAAATACATACATAGTCATTTAAATACTTTGTTCATCTCCAACTAAACAACACCGGGAGAGGGCACAGGAGATCGGCCAGATAAGCAATTACTGAATGAGTTAGTAAATGTGATATATATATATATATATATATATATATATATATATATATATATATATATATATATATATATATATATATATATATATATATATAATGGTAATTTTATCTTATAATAATCAGTGCAGTACAACAATTAATGAGGATTTGTGTGTGATTCTGTAGGTTATCTGTCTTGCTGTCGTTTTCTTGATGACAATCAGATCATCACCAGCTCTGGTGACACCACATGGTGAGTTCATGTACACACAATACTATAATAAACATAGGAAGTCACAATAATGCAGCTAATTATTTTCCTAGTACTGTAATGTCAATGGGAATATGGTTATTATTATTATTATTATTATTATCCTACCTGTGAATTTACTACCCCATTTACCCCCTGTTGTGCTGTAACAGGGAGAAGGCACATTGTTAATCATAATAGTTTTAATAACTCATCTCTAATAACTGATTTCTTTTCTCTTTGCCATGATGACAGTAAATAATATTAGACTAGATATTCTTCAAGATGTATTCTTCACTAGTATTCAGCTTAAAGTCACATTTAAAGGCTTAACTAGGTTAATAAGGCAAGTCATTAGTTTGTTCTGTAGACGATCAATAAAAACATTTCTTCAGGAGGCTAATAATATTGACCCATTTACATTTTTGTAATGGATTTATTATTAATTCAGCCCAAAAAAAAGAAGTAAGACTTTCTCTGGAAGAGTAATGAGAAATACTGTAATAAATTTATGGTTGGAGCGCTTTTAAACATCACTCGCTAAATAAAATTCTTTAAAAAAAAATTCTGTAATATTGTATTTACATAAATTTATATTTTGCTAATAATTTTGTCTTCGACTGTATGATAATAATTAACTGATATTTAATGCATGTTCTATATGTAATAAAATATCAATGAATAAATGTAAAATATCATGAATAAATGTTATTCAATAATATTTGAATTTATATCATATTTAACATATCTGAATAATAATAATATTAATAATAATAATAATTGCTATTTTTTTAAATAACAATAATTCATATTTAATGCATGTAATATATGTAATTGCTACAACAGTTTTTTTTTTAACACTTTTTCACACTTGTCCTTTTGAATGGATCAAATGACGGAGACACTTCAATAATCACGCACATGTTATTATCATCAGCTCAAGAAGTTCATTATATCAAATATAGACGCGATCGCGAGCTCCCGGAAGAAAGCGAATACCACTCGCACTTTTAGACGGGCTCATAAAACAACAGCACACGGCAGATTTTGTTCTTCTTGGCTTTGTTCCTGTTCATTAAGACGATGACAAGGTTTGTTTGAGCTCGGGTCGTTCATGGCTGGTTATTATATGCATATAGTATATCCATGTAATCTCTCGTCTGCGTATTAGAACATGGCTGATCCTTTGTTTACATTCTGTCTAGCTCCATGAGCTCGTGACGCATCTCTGTAACCAATCAGCAATCGGCTGCGCGTGTAGCTCCACCTTTTGGTACCCTTTCGAAAGGGTGCCGAAAAAGTGGTTTGGTAGGGTTTTGGTCCGGCAAGTTTATTGACAGTGGAAACGGCCATAAAAGTGTACCAGACCTTACCGTACCGTACCACTTAGTGGAAACGGGCCATAAATACATCCAAGGTCATTTAAATATTTTGCTCATCTCCAACTAACCAACACTTGTGATCGGTACATGAGATTGGCCAGATCAGCGAGTACCGATTGAGTTATTAAATGTGATTGTTGACCGATGCCGAACGATCAGAGCATCCTTAATAAATGAATATATACTATTATACATATATATATATATATATATATATATATATATATATATATATATATATATATATATATATATATA